TAATAAAAAAAAATGTGACTTCAATATTACTTTAATCAAAGCTGCTATATAATAATGAAATAGCTAATGATCCCTCTGTACTGCAGATTTTTTTTTTTGTTTAGCAGAAGTTCTGCCACAGCTTCCCTTTAACATTCTAAAATTAGGACCCTTTCTGGATCACACTAATGACTGCAAATAACTAAGGAAAGCAAATCTTGAATTAAAAGTACAAAACATTTTATTTTTATTATTAGATTGACTGAAACAAATTATTTGCTTCTGTGAATTTATTTTTGCTTACATTAGATGTGGTATGTCACTTTTTGACATGTAACCTAAGCAGATGTATCTTAAAGCTGACCCCCCTGCCCCCCCCCCCCCATTCCACTGCAAATATTAAATGGTCATATAGTCTAGGGTGCAGGCATAAGGTGTAATACCGTAATCCTGGCTCTGGCAGGGCTTCTTCAGCCCATGCAACACCCCCCCTCCCCAGTAATGTCTTCTCTAAGCAGCTTCTGCCCACTGTCTCATGCTCACCTTCTCATGCACAATAGGGAAACAGTCCGGCATTGCATGTGATGATGCCAAGGGACCACCCATAACCCAGAGAAGACTGGGTTGCTGAAAGTGCTGAAAGTAGGTAATACACCTTATGCATGCACCCCTAGACTAAACAAGCATTTAAAGAATATGTGAATCCAGCATTTCATAATCCTGACATGTGCCTGCTGTACCATGTACGTGTATGAAAAAGTGTCAGTGCTCTTTGCATTGCTTTTTGCAGTCCTTCTACTTTCCTATTAAAAACTGACCACGCTAGCCATGAGAGCTGGGAGCTCACCCCATGATCAGGCCTGTGCTGACACACTCCCCCATGTACAGCTATTCACTGGGAAGATCAGTGTGCTCCTGTTTCTCCTCCACCAGCCCTCTAAGCTCTCTATGCAGCAGAGAACAAAGGGTATTTGATCACTTCTACAAAAAAGAGGAAAGATATTTTTAATTTATTTTATATCTGTTCACAAATGTTTCACCTTTCATTTCTATTTTAAACTGAATGGGTTGTTTTACAAGGTGAGGGATTACATATACTTTAACCCTTGCAGTGCAGGGGCCCCACTGCAAGGATAAAGTATGTCTCATTCCCAGAGTTTAGCTGTAATTCAGTTAGCTCTGTACAAGGCATACTAATCTCGTAATCTTGGTATTCAAAAAACTGGAATGATTGTAACTCATATGAAGATTTTGTTTTTATATACTGGGGTGTATTAAGCAGATCAGATTGCACTTGTTCATGGTTATACAGAGAAATATTGCACAAGAGTGAAATAAGAACTGAAAGCATGTAACAGTGGTATCACTGGAAAGGATCTGTTTTGTTGTGTAGATACAGTATATTCCAGCGCGTTACCTCTACCTAAATACCACACTGAAAAGATCATACTTTCAGATACTATTAAAGTGGTAGTAAAGGCTGTTTTTTTTTACTTCTACCTACAAGTAAGCCTGTTAGGATCCATGTACATGAGCCTACCCTGACCGCCGGCCGTGGGAAAAACGCAAATCACGGCAAAACAGGGCAACCGCGGTACCCTGATTTTGCGGTTTCTTGCAGTTGGCAGTCAAAACGTTCCTAACCTGAATGTGATTCTTCCACGTTCAGGAGAGGGAGGTTTAAACCTCACCTAAACGCGGCAGCTTCTACACTCTGCTAAAAGTCTATGTGTGTGTGAACACACAGGCTTTTATGGAGTTGAGGTTAGGAGCTTTAGCAAAAAAATGCCAAAAGCTCCTAAACTCGAGTTTAGGAGCTGCTTGTGTACATGAAGCTTTAACCTCCTTAGCGGTATTCCCGAGTGTAGCTCGGGGTAAAATTTCTATACCAAGAGCGGTAACCCCGAGCTACACTTGGGCTTACCATGCGGCGTTGCTCTGGGGGTCCCTGGAGCACTTACCTTGTCCTTCGCTCCCCACGATGTGTCCCCTGCAGCGTCCCCCGGCCATCTCCTCCAGCCGATGCTGGCATCCGGCTTCTGTGTTTTGGTCCCTGTGACGTCGGGACGTAACGGGCGCCGGAACTGGCGGGAAATTTGAAATTTTTAAAAAATTTCATTTTTGCTGTCATTGCTGTTTCAATGCATTTCACATATATTTTGTCCCTACTGCTTTGTCCTGTGCCCTGCCTGCATTTTGAATGTTCTTTCTGCCTAGAAACTTAGAAAAGTCCATGGCATCCAAAAAGCGTCCCTTTACGTCAAAAGCGGTTTTAGAACAGCGATAGTAAATCAGAACCACTTGCAGAATTGAGTGATAATGATTCGTGGGGGAAATTCGTCATCAGACACTGAAAACAATTTTGCGACTTTGCTCAGCGATGTGCGAATTTGCCTCTGTATTTCAAATTTCAGTGTTTTTGGTTTGATTATATTATTGAATTAAATTTATTATTATTATATTATTATTTCTTATGATTATTTTTTAAATTATTATTTATGATTTCGTGTTTCAAAATTTATCCTACCCGGGATGTTTAATAGACTCTTGTTCGTACAGATTTCAGTGAGTTATTCCTAAAAATTACAGCCTACAATAAAAAACTACATATTTCCATGCAAAAAAATGGTACCGCTTTCAGCACAAAAAAATCGGAAAGAATCATACTGCCAAGGAGGTTAAAAAGCTCACCTGTAGGTACTGCAAATATCTCCTAACCATGCACCATTTTGAAAATATTTACCTGTAAAGCAGCACTGGCGCATGGGCATGCCCATGCCGTTTGTTCAGAGCTGTGTTGCCATAAAAAAGTAACTCCCATGTGCATGCGTGTGAGTGACGTCATCGTGGCATGGCCATTCAAGCCGCCAGAGCCTGTGAACCTGGAAGAAGTACCAGATGAAGATGGAAGCCCTGTCAGAGGTGACAGCGAGCTGCTGGAGGTCTTTGTGTTAAGGTAAATTTCACATAATAACATTGCCGTGCAGGGGAAAAAAAAAAAAGTTTTTTATTTTTTTTTATTACAGGGTTTACTGCTGCTTTAACCACTTGCCCTCCAGAGGATTTACCCCCCTTCCTGACCATTTGTTGCGATACGGCGCTGCGTTACTTTAACTGACAATTGCGCGGTCATGCAACGCTGCACCCAAATGAAATGTCTGTCCTTTTTTTTTCCCCACGAATAGAGCTTCATTTCAGTGGTATTTGATCACTTGTGTGTATTTTATTTTTGCACTATAAACAAAAAAAGACCGACAAAAAAAAAATATTTTTTACTTTTTGCTATTAAACATGTCCAGTAAAAAAAATTTAAAAAATCAAATTTTGTCATAAATTTAGGCCAAAATGTATTCTGCGACATGTCTTTGCTAAACAAAATCCCAATACGTGTAAATTAATTGGTTTACGTGAAAGTTATAGCGTTTACAAATGGTGGTATATATACTGGAACTTATTTTTTTTTCTACTAGTAATAGCGATGATCAGCGACTTCTAGCAGGACTGCGGCGGGCATTCTGACACTAGGGGGAACTGACTTGGTGTCACTGACATCCCCAGTGACAGGGGAGAGATCTGTATTGTGTACATACAGGTCTCTCCCCCATCGGAAATCCTTGGCGATTGCCGGGTGCCGGCAGGGAATCACCGTCCGGGACCTGGTGATTGACAGCCAAGGACCATGCTCGTGCCCCCTACCTGAAACTGCAAAATCACATATATACTGTATATATATGTGACTTTGCGCACCCGTGCCGCCCTGTAGCTGTATTTCTGCTTTAGGGGTGGTGCAAAAGCGGTTAATAGTGGATCCGTGTTTGTCATCCCCCCCCCCCCCCCCCTCATTTTATTTTTCCTCTCCTCTTTTTTTCTTCTTTCTGCTTGTTTTTCTTTCAGGAGAATCAGTCTCCTTTAGAAATATCTGTATTTGTATTTTAATGTCATCTGTACTATTGTATTTTATTTTATTGTATTGTTGTAAAGGTTTGTATAAAAGTATGTACAAAAATACAACCCCAATTCCAAAAAAAGTTGGGATGCTGGGTGAAAATCTACATAAAAATAGAATGCAATGATTTTGAATCTCTTAAGTAGAAAACAGAAAACATTATGAAATGCAAGGCCTTCTTCTGAAAAAGATGTTGTCTGGAAGGTTGATGGTTCCTTTCCAGATGTGCAAGCTGCCCATTCCGTACGCACTAATGCACCCCCATACCATCAGAGCCTCAAGGCCGCTCTCCTCCTTAGTTTGGAGGATGGGGCCATGGTTGCCAAAAGAATGTCTGATTTCAATTTGTCTGACCACAGAACAGTTTTCCACTTTGCAAGTTTGCATTTTAACCACTTGCCAACCCGCTGAAAGGAAATGTACTGCAAGCGGGCAACAAGTGCTGGCTTTCTTACAGGTTTGGGGCATGCACACCCCCCCCTGCTGACCCATTATGTGATTGTACACAGCAGACATTTGTAAGCAGGTTTCGCCCAATGATTTTGCCAAAAACCTGCTGATCGGCTGTTTCCAATCACAGCACAGAGTTCTGTGTTTACAAACACACAGAACTCGGCATACACAGAACAGAGAACCGTAAAACAGTAAAAGCAGCACACATTATATTTGTTAGGCACACAGTTAACCCTGCTTTCCCCGTGATGTTAACCCCTTTCTAGCCTGTGTCATTAGTACAGGGTGCATCTGATCACTGTATTAGTGTCACTAGTGACGTCAACGTTAGTTACTGTTCCTCCCAGCCAGTGTTTGTTAGAGCAAGATTGTATGCCACACTATCACAGTCCCACAATAAGTTGATGATCACTGCCACGACCAGTATAGCGTCTGTAGCTGTGTAAACTCCAGTATATGTATACCATAGTTTGTAGGCGCTATAACATTCACACAGACCGATTGCTATACACTTATTGGAATTTTTTTTTTTACAAAGACATTTAGCAGAATACATTTTGGCCTACATTTTTGAAGAAAGTAGATTTTTTGATTGGATATGTTCAGGGGCGGACAATAGGGGATCATGGGGCCCCTGTGTCCTTGCCCAAACTTAAAAAAGCCTATGAAAAAGGTACCGGGCATCTCATGGGGCCCCCTACTGACCCCGGGCCCTTGGGCAGTGCCCGTGTTTCCACGATGGGGCACTATTCCCCCCCCCCCACTGACACCAATGATGGGGCACTATTCCACCCCCCACTGACACCAACGATGGGGCACTATTCCCCCCCCCCCACTGACACCAATGATGGGGTGCTATTCCCCCCACTGATACTAATGATGGGGCACTATTCCTGCCACTGATACCAATGATGGGGCACAATTCCTCCCACTGACACCAATGATGGGGCGCTATTCCTCCCACTGACACCAATGATGGGGCACTATTCCTCCCACTGACACCAATGATGGGGTGCTATTCCTCCCACTGACACCAATGATGGGGCACTATTCCTCCCACTAATACCAATGATGGGGCACTATTCCTCCCACTGACACCAATGATGGGGTGCTATTCCTCCCACTGACACCAATGATGGGGCACTATTCCTCCCACTAATACCAATGATGGGGCATGATTCTTCCCACTGGTGTGCACTGGAAGAGGGGTAGTCTTATACGGCGAGTATAGCCCAAACACTACATTTTAACAGGAAAAGTGGGGGGTCGTCTTATACGCCCAGTTGTTTTATACGCCGGAAAATACGGTACCTTATTTTTTTCTTAAAATGGTTAATTTTTTTCAGTTGACACATTTGATGTTTTCTATGTTCTATTGTGAACAAAATATGGGTTTATGATATATGCAAATCATTGCATTCTGCTTTTATGTAGATTTTACATAGTGTCCCAACTTTTTTGGAATTGGGGGTTATAGGTATGTAGTGCTACCTCCGCAGGAGCCGCTGAGTTTAACTGGGTCCCCCCTTAGCTTTGCATGGCCAGGTAGCGCATTTTCCACACTGTCACACACAGAGTCAGTAAAATAGTCCTTGAGCTGTTTTTTTGTTGTTTTTTATTGAGGAGTTAACAAGTTGGATAGGGTCTTGGGGTATATGGGATGCCCAAGGAACTGCAAACTTGAGGACAAACTTCTTAGCAAACTGATTACTGTACAAAAATGTGATCAGAGAAATAGCACCGTCTCTTTAAGGAGCACAAAAGTCCCCTTAATGTACCTCCTCGGACCTCAGATGAATCCTTCCTCCTTCACCCAACTGCACTGAGGAGTAAGAGATTCCAAGATCTGCCAATTAAGTAGTCCCGGATGAGAACTAGTTGGGGGTCTTGCACCTCCCTTTATCTGGCCCAGGGGGTGTAGAAGTACTCACACTATCCTGTCCTGTTACTTTGGTGGGCTGCAGCTGCTTTCAGGCCTTACACTGGGCTGGCTCCTTCCTGACAGGATTGTCCTCCCTTGAAGGCCTAGCACAACGGAGATCCTTCCCTCCAGCAAGCAGCCTGTAGGTAGGCTTCCCTCCCTGGGGGCCCCTCCTAGGCTCCACTCTCCAGCACCTTCCTTCAGTCCATCTTCCACCCTACTCCGCTTGCTGCACAGGCTCTGGTAAGGGTTGCCCATGGTCACCATGCTCGGCCTCCTGCCTGGGGATTGGCCAGGTTCCCCAGGCTCCCCCTTCCTCCTCCACCCCTCTTCCGGAAAGTGCCAGAAGTTTCTGGAAGGGTGGAGGGCTCCAGAAGCCCTGACCTGTAGAGCCTCCCAGCCTATCCTAAGGTGAACTCACTCCCAGGCTGATACATCCCAGGCTTCTAACAAGCCTCTAATTAAAAACAAATCCCATTTACATGGAGGGCGCTACAGATATGTATAATACACAAATTAAAAATCATATCATAAAAATGTAGCAAGACAAATAAACAATAGACATTAACACTAAACCTGTGCGGTCACAGATGCTGTATATGACTAAAGCTGTATATGACTCTAAAGATATAATAAAAAATTTTATTGTTCACATTTCTTTGTGAGTGTTGTTTGTATATCAGCGCCATGAAGCCAGAGAAAATCTGGGTATAGAGGTAATCTACATAATACACATAGTATACTATAAAACCTAGGGCCTGTTCACACAGGTTTGCATCGTCAGACACAGTGCCGATGCAATGATCCCGGCGCATCTCACTAATTTTTTATTATACAGAACGTTATAAAAATATCATGAGTAACATTTCAACAGGATACTATTCACAGCAGTGGCGTTGCAATGCAGTAGTTAATGTTACAACCTGCTACATTGAAAAAAAATGTGCTGCATACAGTGCTATGGTGTGAATTGTCATCATGGGAAGCAAGACATTTTTTCCTTGTCCATGCATTGGGGCTGCACTGGAAACAGCTGCCAGCACAGTCCCACTGCATCTGCTGTGAAATGGCCCTGAATGAGTAGGTTGAAGTGATTCACTACCAAATGGAGAAGGTTGAAAGAGTACATTTACCAATCCAAATTTTGCATCAGCAGCTTGTCAGAGCAAGCGATAATTAAAGGGGCAAGTATTAAACATCGCCAAATCTCGCTGCAATGCAGAAAAAGACTTAAAGGAGCCCTGTTAATATAATTGATATACAGTACATACTGTATTTCAAGACCACATTAGCCCATAAGTACAATCATAAAATGGGTGAGCTTTGCATTGCCCTAAAAGAGTTCTGTCAGGACCCAGATCTGAACCTGTAACCTCTGCTGTGTTTGGCAGTAACTCTTCATCCTGAGCCACCTAGGATGCACAATAGCTCCCTGCTTGATTGCTTAGACAACTTTGCCTTATGTCTTGTTTCTTTTAAACCCTTTGCTCTTCCCATGAACTTCTTATTTAAGCCATGCCTTTGCATTTCCTGTTTGCCAGATTATTTTGCTCTTTCCAGCCAATATCTTGCTCTTGTCACTCCTACTGCCATCTGTATCCTCACTACCACTCATTCTTGACCCTTGACTTCTTCCTCGACTATGCTTCTGCTTGACCCCAACCTGCAACCACTTGTTTCCAATCTTTGGTTTGTTTACTGACTACACATCTGCTTGATCCCTACCTGCTATATCTGCTACTGGACACTGACTTGGTAACCTCCTAGTGGGGTTATCCTGAGGATTGTGATCTGGTACTAGCACACAGCAAAACCTACATCCCCTATCAGGAGCTCTGGTGAATACCTGTTAGTGCTTAGACCTTGCACCTCGGGTGAGCTTGTGTCATCCTGAGGGTCACCTGCTTGTATACTTATCTTGCTGGTTGGTGGGAGTTGGTGTACTGCTATGGCTACTGGTCTCTGAGCTTGACCTCTGACCATGACAGGTTGTTTGGGGAAGTAGCTCAGGTTGTTTTTTGGGACATTTCTAAATTTTAAAAGATGTAGTCGTAATAATGGTGCCCTCAGAACTGTGGTGAGATTTACAATGTATAAGACTGGATAAGATTTCTTAGGAGATCACTGCTGCATCCATGGTTGTGTCAGCATTATTTAACTGGAAATAAACACCAATGTGCACAGTAATTGTGAGGCATAGTAATATCTCTGCATATGTGGTAATACCATCCAGGGGCGGACTGACAACTCATGGGGCCCCCAGGCAATAGGGGATCATGGGGCCTGTGTGTCCTTGCCACACTAAAAAAAGCCTATAAAAAAGGTACCAGGGGCATCTCATGGGGCCCCCTACTGACCCGGGGCCCTCGGGCAGTGCCCGAATGCTTGAATGGTCAGTCCGCCCCTGATACCATCCCACTCTGAGAAAATGGAAGTTGCAAAGTAGATAGTAAAAACCTAGCTGGCTTGAGTGCCAGAAAGTTGTTATCATAGTATCCAGTTCTCCAAAGATGTATTTTGAGAGACACCAAAGATTTCAATAATAGTTTGTCCCTCTTGGCTCATCAGCAGAAGTTGGCTTCCTATTTGTTTTTGTCTGCCTCTAGAACAATTGCTCAGGCCTGGAAGAGCCCGTTTGTCCCTCTTCAGGGGGTGCGGGACCATATGACCACTATGATGCTCAATGAACAGATGTCGAGTATCTGCAACGACTCCCAATGTACATTCTTGAAAATATGGGAGCCGTGGCTGCAATATACCTTTCCCACGCTCCCCCCGGCTAGTCTGGGGATGTGATGTTGTTCGGCTTTGGCGTTCTTGGATCCCTGCTCTTGGTTTGGTTATCTTTTTTCTTTCGTACTTCTCCACTTCTCCTTCCTTCCCCCCCCCCCTTTTTTTTTTTTTTTTTCTTTCTGTTTGATTTTGGTGTGGCAGTGGATAGCTGCCTTTAGTCTGAGTTATTCTCAGTGTTATATTTATGTTTTGTTATTTAAGTGCCATTGATAGCCCCTGCGTGGGCGATCTTTTGCCCTGTTGGTGTTAGAGCACTGATTTCTTTAATTTTCTACTTCTTTTATGTGCAATTGATAGCCCCTGTGTGGGCGTGATTTGTTGCTCCTGTGTTAATTGTTATTAATTAATAGAAACCATTGAAATACAATAATAGTTTGTCTTGGGTCAATTAAGTAGATCAGTACATTATGAGGGTACAAAGAAACTCTTCTTTACAGTGTACCCACTTGAACTTCTTCGATTGATAGGGTTTTCCTAAATACATTCTATTAACGGATCAAACGCCAAAGCAATAAAAATTAGGGACAATGGATAGCCCTGTCTTGTACCTCTCTGTATAGGAAAGGGATTGAAAACAACATTATTCACTGTAATCTGAAATGAAGATTTGACTAAGTCAACATATAGTCGTATAGGGTTATTTAATTAAGTCAAAAGCATTAATGGTGCCTAAAGCCAGCTTCTCACTGACACATTTCACACATTAATGGGGCTTAATCATACAGCCAATACTAATCCCCGCTAGAGGGCGAAACATATCAGATGGAGTAGCTGGGTGGAGTGTCCTCAACAGAGCTGGAATAATAAAGTTGTTTTGATGAAGCCGCAGTGTACAGACTGGTTCAAGAGGAGAGGACCCAGGAGATGTGAACACTCACAGCGATATGCAGCTGTCTATTATTTTATACAGCTTAGCATTGATTGTGGTGCTCCAAAGAGGACTAGACTGCAGAGTTATTTAATGATAATGAGCATTGATTGTGGTGCTCCAAAGAGGACTAGATGTGCAAGGAGTAACTAAAGTATTTAGTGATATTAAGCACTTTGGCCATTTAAAATCTCATTGCATGCAGAGATGTTTTAAATCCTCAAACTGTTCTCTTTGCTAAACAGACGAATTAAAAAAAGAGGCATACCACATAGGTATCGCATATATCCATTGGATCAACTGAAAAGACAAGACAAGCAAATCTCTCATCATCATCGCTCACAGTGAGACATATGTTCCTATG